TAAAAATGTATAAAAACTTTCGTACTTTAAAATTTATAAGATCTACATGTTGAATTCGATAGAAATAAAAAGAATATTTAATTAAGAATTTATATAATGTATATTTTCAAAATTTGTAATTAATTAAAAAATTAATTACATATGAATAATATCACACTATTTTTTTCAGATTTAAAAGTTATTTAATACATAATTCATAGTCAGTTTAAGATTAAAATTAAAATTAATAACTATTAATATATTAACACATTCTATTTTTATGTTCAAAATGTTTAAATACATAATTATTATATATTATCACATTAAATAAATAAATAATTATTATATATTATTATATTAATTATAAAATAATTTTAAAAATTAAAAAATTAGCATGTGTACATTTTTAGTTTTACTTTTATCTATATAGTATAAATATAAATCTAGATGATAATAGCACCATATTAAGCCATGAATTGTCACAAAATTTATGTTCGACCATATTGAATTAAGGCTTATGATGATGCTGATCTACCTCAATGTCAATTTTAGCCGATTCTAGCTACTAAGCGCAAAATATATAATCTAATAACATTAAATAAAAAGCAATAGCATTTAGAAGATTACTGAAAAAGTCGCAACCTTTATTTATTCTTAAAATAAAGCCTTAGTTTTTCCTAGACAACTCTCAAACTGGATCATGGAAAACCATTACTCTCTAGTACATAAAATAGAGAAATCAAATTTATTTATAGAAAGTTTAGAATGAGGATAACACACCATCTAGCTTAATCTTCAAATAAAGCACACGAGTTACTGGGGCAAGAAATATAATCTTGTTGGAGCTAATAGCTTATCAGCACTAAGTACTCGTCCAAAATTGCTCGGTGTGTTCCAGCCAAGTTAGGGACATGTCATTGTGCTAAGACACCCATGCCAATATGCTTTTCAACATCACATCACAAATTAAAAAATCTCCATAAGCATCTGCATTATTTGGCACATGAAATTTTCCCTGTAAGTGCCTTGTTCCTATAACGTGTGTGCATAGGAGGCATTTTCTCCATGCATGGCAAACATGTTTATAGCTTACAAGTTTCCACCATTACACAAGCACATTTCCATATCTTGACAACTTACAACATGCTCACACGTCCTTGTACGCCATATAATGTTATTGGACATTGTCAAACTACAGTATTCTTCGCCCTGCCCCTACATCACCTGCATGTTCTTGCGTGCTTAGCATTACTCATAATGTTTCTTACTCAAATTGTGTTTGCTTGTTTGTGCACACAAGTGAGTGATGTGTACGAGGTGTCCATGTGCCCTATGCTGCTTATATGCATATGTTCACGTATGTGCTGCAACCATTTAAGGTTTGCATGTTTGATCAATGTTGTGCACCTGCACGCACGACCATGTTCTCCACATATGACTAAGCTTCTAAATAGTTCACTCCTCCTTTTAGTGCTGCTCATATAAGGTGTAGACGTATGTACGCATTTATTAA